ATAGTTTTTTTTTTTTTATAGAATTTTTTATAGAATAGTTTTTTTTTAAATTATAATAGGATAGGTTTCGATTCACATCACTATGTAAGTGTACATAAGTCAGTGATAAGTATGCTTGGGAGTACTTTTTGTACTTGGACCCTTTGCTAAACCTGGTTAGCATCGACTGTGTCCTCTGCTTTTAGCCATTCTAGATTTCTTTAAGAGGTCTACTACTACAAGAGGCGCGGTTATGCCGCAGTTATGCACCTTCTCTGCAATTAAGAAATCTGGTTCACAATTTAATCTATTTTTAAATTATTTCTTTATTATTTTTATTAGTATGCTCAGAGTACTTATGCAAAAAGAAAAGAAAGTCCCTTTGCTAAACCTGGTTAGCATCGACCATGCATAGCAATTTACCAACGTCCTCCACCCCACCAGATAATTAAATATCGCCGCCAAAATCAGTTACATAATTGCTTTTTAAATTTCAATCTGCGCACAAGAATAATAAAATCATGAGGTTATAAGATTTTTTGAAGAAATACGAAGTTTTTTTTATATTTTCAACTTATTAGACTTTATTTAATTATCCCTACAAGTTCTAAATAATTACACTCAATTCAAATGTATAGAATGCATTTACATCCATTCAAAGTTTAATTAATACATGTATAAAGCTTCAATTTTAAATTTTTTATGTTACCAATAAAAGATATTTTGTTACATCCACTCCAAGTTTTTGGAAGCTTTTTTGCTTGTTCAAAATCTTTAATGTAATCTACCATTTTTTCGAATAGGTTTAAAGTTCGATTTAATACTTAGAAGCTATGTTTTTTGTTTGGGAAGATTATTAAACTTTTTAAGCGGCTAAAACATAAAATTAATAAATAAATTTATTTAAACATGGAAATATAATGAAAAAAAAAGTTTATATGTACCTCATGTAGAATTTTCTTAAAATTTCAGATTCGGAATGAATTTACCAGATCGATCGTTAAATTTGACTTGTGTAATTGGTTAAGGTTGATACTTGAATATTTTCAAATTAAGTTTTTTTTAGTTTCCGTACTAAGAGGATATTGAGAATTGCATTGTACCAATTAATATAATATTAGATTTAGAACAATGAACTTGCAAAAGCTTCATCTATGTTATTACTGAAATATCTTCAAGATCCATATATATACTGCTTTTTCCTTCAACATCTATAAGTTTTTCATAAACTATATTCAAGCACTTCGGATTTTATAGCATTTTCTTTTTGCATGCGAATATCATTTACAATTTGATCCTCAAGTTCTTGTTTTTTGCTTTCATTTATACAGGTTGTACACTTTAGAAACATGATTTATTATTATTATTCTAAAATGCAGTTTTTGGTTTCGTAATTCGACAAGATGAACAAAGTTGGGTGTGTTTATTTTAGAAAATATTGTATTACGATATTCAAAGAAATAAAAATTTTCATTGTAAAAATTTGTTATTATTATTCTTACATATGTTATTAATCAAATGCCGTTATTATTGTATAACCATTAATTTTAATATCGGCAATAAATTTAAGCTCCATTTACGTAACTGATTTTGGCGGTGATACTAGGTGGGTCGAATAATTAATTGTGGGGACAATTAATTGCAATTGGAACTCAACTAATTTATTGGTGGCGCAGTCACAATTTCTAATTGATTTTTAAAGCTAAATACGTATGTCAATTTTTAATTGACGAAATTTTGAAAGTGACATCTAACATATATAGTTGAATTTTTATTATCATTATAAATATAAAAATTTAAAAATTTATAATAATTATTGTTGTATAGTTTAATATTGTAATTTATATCTATATAATACATAATATTTTAGGTACATATTAGCAATTCTAATTATATAGTACCACATTATACGAAATAACGCCTATAGATGTTATTTCATGAAGATACGGTACTAGATAGTATGTAATCCATCGCATTGCTCTAGATTTTATTTTATAATGCATATTTATTAATTTAGGTGATTAAAATAAATCATTTTAAGTTTATAAATTCATATTTATTATTTAGCTTGAACAGAAAGAATATTTATTTATTAATCCAAATGTTTAAATAATTTTGTAAAATCTATCAATTTTTGATGTTTTGTATTAACTAATTTAAAATCGTAAATATTTGCATAATGCAGCCAAAAATAAAAATACGGGTTAACTATTGTAAATAATAATTTATATGTTATTTAAAATGCATTAACTAATAAATTGGTAAATACTATATTTATAGATCTAAATAGCTTATGCCAAATACTTATATTAATTTTTTTTATATACACATCCTAAATTAGTATGAACAAAAAAAATTAAATAGTAAATATGTATGAACTTGAACAGTCTGTTTTAAATGCTTACTGTAGCTTAATAAATATTTTTTATAATTACTAAATTAACGCGAATAAATAACGCAACAAACTATATAAAAATTAAATGATAAATAGTTATAAGCACAAATAATTTAATTTCACTGGCTTCACCTTTTAATTTTTTACCAATTAAATTTTTGTTGCAACAGAATCGACTTATGAAGTCGTTAGCGAAAATTGCTTTAATTTTAACTAACGGAAAGTATTTTTAATCAATAAATCGAGCTTGTCATTAAGATAAGTAAGGTGGTTTATTATGTGAAAGAAATTTTTTAAATAGTAAAAAATAAACAGTGAGTTTACCATTTCAGTCAAAAAATTTTTTTCTACGCTGACTTATCAAAACTTTATAAATATTAAAATGAATAAAGTAAATGTTCATGTGTTTTCATACTTTTTATTATGAATTTTCATAATCGACACACATTTTTTGTAAAATTTTCGATAAACTATTAGAATTCTCTCAAGCAGTGATTGAGATCTTTATTTTGATCTATCGTTCAATTGAGTATCACTACAATTATTAGAAAAGTAATGCTTCAATAATATCGTCATTTATATTATTGACTTTTATCCAAAATGTTATGACAATAGCCAAAGTTTATGTTATAATACTTGTGCACTATTTGATCATTATGCTTGAGAACACTCCAAGTATTTCAATCAAATGTTTAAACCATTTCGATTTAAATTAGATAAATATTTTGTATTATATGTTGTGTGTAGTATGGTCTAAACTCTCATTCAAATTTTATGCTACTGTATTTAATAAAATTTTTTAGCAGTGATCGAAGATAGATTTAGAAAGTGATCATCAAATTGTCTTTCCCGTTATTTCGTTATCGTTATTTTCTACAGGGAGATCCCCAAATTTCCGGGTCGTAATGGCCGGAATGCGTCGTGGTTAGGGTCAGGGTTAGGGCTGAGTTAGGGTTAGCGGGAGCTATAGGCTATAGTAAAATTATTAGCTGGGCACTTTTCACTTAATAAACGACTATTGTTTCATTAGTAAAATTCTAAGTGATCTTGGGGCAAAATTGATCAACTCCGGCCCTTCCGACCAGAGTTCCGAAGCCTCCGACCCGGAATTTTGGGGATCTCCCTGTAGTAGTTTTTCTCGTTTTCCTTGATGATCATTAAAAATTCGACTGAAAAAAATAAAATTTGTTTAATATTAAGAAAGTAGATTAATAAACCCAGAGAAAAAAACCTGTAAAAAAGTTTTAAAGGTCAAATAGCATATAAGATTAGTCTTACGTCCCAAATTTTTTACGCTGAGCATGATCAAGAATATGATTTACTATATACTGTATAAAAAACGCAACCAATTTCATGACACGAGTTCTTATTTTGTAATTTTGTATAACTAAGATTTGCCAAAAATAGAGGACGTCTAAAGCGAAGTAGATTCTTATAATATATATTTTATCAAATTAACTTTAAGGTTATAGTCATCTTGGATTATAGTTAAAGCAGGCTTTAGATAATTATATATAAGCAAAATTGCCTTCCTGATATTTTTACTTAGCTTACTCTAGGTAGGTTTAGACTGCTATTTTTTGTATTTTCAAGTTTTTCTTGGTTTGCTTCGTCGGCAATCATCAAAATTCTATAATTTAATTGGTTATATATCACGTGATTCTGCTCCGCTTTAGACGATTCCCAAAAATAGGGGTAGGCTAAAGCCAGGTACATCACGGAATTACCCAATATATAACCCGGATCCGTCCGAACAAAACAAAGCGAAATGGCAAAGACAAAAACACAAAATATATAAAAAATGGCCATCCAAACCGGTCTTGGTTAACTAAGTAAAAGTGTCGGAAATGCGATTTTACTATATAAAACTACTCCTAATCTAACGCTAACCTAACCTAACGCTAACCTAACCTTACCCCAAAAATAATACAAATTTGTAAGCGTTTTTTTATTGTGTTAATTATGAATTTGTTGACGCAATAGACCTGATGTAATTTTGCAGGAAGTTAGGGCAAAATTGATACTGAAAGAAATACTTAAGCTAGAAAGACTTTATAGGAAAAAGGGTGGATTTGAACTATTAAAGCCTACGTAAAAAATGTTAAATTAGGTTTAAATATATCTCTATACAGTATCTTGAAGTCTTCAGTAATACAATTCGTTAAAAGGTGTTACGCGTATAACCTTGAAACTGACAAAACCTGCAAGACTGTGCCATGTAAAAATTAAAGGCTCTCGCAAGCTTCTCAAAAAATAAGGTACATAAATCCTAGCTAATGCGAATTGCCTTTCTTAAATATAAATCAATAACTTATAACCTTTTTCATCCTACAAAACTTTTTTGCAGCTTGAAAAAGTTTTCAATATAAATATCGAACGAATTAATGAATTCCACCAATCAATATTGGTAAGTAATATATAAATAACTATATTTATTTATATTAATCTTGTTTATTTATAGTATTATTTTTATAGAAATAAAAGAAGACCTTAAAAATTTCGAAGAACGTGTAAAAGAGACGGTAGAAGGGCTCAAAGTATGATATTTCTTTTATATAAGAATTACATATAAAATCAAAATAAACTAAATAAAATACTAATTTGACTTTTTTTTCAAAAGAAAAAAATGCGGGCTTTTGGAACTGTCGACAATTGCACTAATGAATCCACTAAAGCAGAGTATATTTCGGAGATTCTGGTCGGAGTGGTGGACACATTTAGTAAAGAGGGTAAAGAGATCTCGCTACACAAAGAATATACCTTGTCTGGCGTTGATAGTAAAGGTCGGCTAGACTTTACTATTAATCAGGGCGAGGAAATTCTGTGTAGTGGAAGCAAAGAGTTCAAACATCGAACATGGGTTCACACAGAACCTTGTCCAATACATAAATAAAGTTACGCAATACGATCCTCAATAAATTTGTAAGTTCGTGTTATGTAATATATTCTTTCATTACGTTAAAATGTCAATTGCAAAACAACTAGAAAAAATCAATCGATTAAATGTTACTAGAATATCCAATGAAGTTAATCAAGTGTATTTAGAAGATAAGTCACAGGATTTTCTTAATGAAATTATTAAAGATATGTATAATATGTTTTATGAAGAATCATTGAAAGGCAAATACGACAGTTCAATTCTTGACACCTTAGAACAATTTCTAGTAAAAAAAAAGCAAAATCCGTATAATATTATCAAATATTGCTTAGATAAAACGGCGTATATAGCGTCCTCAGGCCAATTAGACCAATTTGTCAAGAGGTTAATGACAAAAAAAAAAAAAAAAAAAAAATTGCTTATCTATGGTTCGATTCATTCTTGCAACTTGTTATAAGTATAGTAAATGGGTTGAAAAGGATAAATATAAGGCATTCATTTATTATAAAAAATCTGCAAAGATGAGGGATGCTATCAGAACAAATGATGTTGGATATTGTTATGAACGTTGAAAAAGACAAACGCAAGGCATTCATTTATTATCAAAAATCTGCAGAGATGGAAAATGCTGTCGGAATACATAATGTTGGACTTTGTTATGAAAATGGAATTGGGGTTTACAAGGATAAACAAAAAGCCTTTGAATATTATTTAAAAAGTGCCGAATATGGAAATTGTTGTGGTATGCATCAAGTTGGTTCGTGTTATAATTTTGGAATTGGAGTAAAAAAGAATAAATATTTAGCTTTCGAATGGTATTTAAAATCAGCTGTTACTGAACATGAATGCTCTAAATATAAATATTTCTGTTGGATAAAATACAATGATTTTAAAAATTTTGAAGAAGTAGGTAAAGGTGGATTTTCCATAGTGTATAAAACATCATATAAAACATCATCTGGAATATACGAAGAAGTTGCAATCAAAATTATAAAAGATTCACATAAAAATATTGAACTTTATTAAACGAGGTAGTTTTTTTATTTATAATATTAACGTTAATATATATTGATTATGAATTAATTGTATATAAATTGACAACTTTTGAGTTAAAGGCATATCACGAATTTGGAGAATACACGTACCATGGCATATCAAAGGATAAAAATAGCGGAGATTATATTTTAGTGATAAATTACGCAAGACTTGGATCATTACATGAAAAACTTAAAGATATAATTAAAATGGAGTAGAAAATTAAACTAAAAATATTGTGTGATATCATTTGTAACCTAAAACATATTCATTCTAAAGAATTTATATATCGAGATTTACATTCTGGTAATATTTTACTAAAAGATCGATATAATATTGCAGATTTAGGTTTATCAATATCGTTTGACGAAAAACAAGATGGTCACATTTGTGGTGTTATACCTTATTTAGCTCCTGAAGTCTTGAAAGGTGAACCTTTTACCCAAGCTGCCGATATTTATAGCTTTGGAATTATTATGTTAGAATTATTAACTGGTCAAAGGCCTTTCGATGGTTACAATTTTGATGCTAAATTAGCACTAAAGATTTGTTATGGTCTGCGACCTGTGAAATTAGTTAATCAATGTATTGATGAAAAAAAGACCTACTGCTGTTGAGATTCTTTATAAACTTAAAAAATGTCAAAAAATTCTAGTCTTCAAAGACTATGATTTTGATAATAATAGTTATTATAATAACGATAGTTATTATGATATTGATAGTTATTACGATAGCGATTATGAGATCGAACAGCAATTACAACAACTTTTAGGAGCAGATAGTGATTACGATAGTGACAATGAGATCAAACAGCAATTTTTAGAAGCTGATAACAATAGCGATAATGAGATCAAACAGCAATTTTTAGAAGCTGATAAATTAATCAAAGAATTGCCAATTATTATGCAAAAACATGAAAATAATATGTATACCTCTAAACTCATCGATACGAGAGAAATTGGTTCAGAGTTTAAAAGTTTTAAAAGTAGTCAAGATCTTAAACTAAGTAATTTTAAACTAAGTAACGAAGTCTATATTGATTTATAATTCATTTTTTCATGATTTTTATGAATAATAAGGGCTATACTAAAGCGTCCAGTGTACATGTTATTTGAAAAACTACCGATAATAATTCCAAATTCAGCCAAAATTCACGTAAACAATCGAATTTGAAAATCGGAAAACCCTATCAATTAAAGATAGTTAATTCAGAAAATTGATTAAATTCAACAATATCTTAGAAATTTATATTATTAAACTTATATAATCATGAAAAGAAATTCGAAAATGTATTTAAACCTCGACTTTTTACTCATAGTTATTCTTGTGAACTTTTGCGAACGCACATACGATTTAATAATTTTACAATCTTATACTACTTTATCAATATTCGTGAACTTATGTTTGAAACTCTATACCACTATTACCTTTCGATAACTACGATAACTAGAAACATATAATTGAATATTAATTTAGCTATACTTCATACTTCTATAGCATATATTATATTTTATTTACTGTATTATATATTATAATAAATAACCGTTTTATTAAATATAAACTATACTCTGACTACTTGACAAAACTATCAAGTGAAATATCTTAACTAGCATACTTAACTATAATTACTATTGGACTAAAGTCACAACTACTAACAGAAGTGAATTAGCATGCACAACTGTGTAAAGAATCTAAGAATAGCTATTTTAGATAATATACTATATTGCAACTAAAGTGTTAACACAATAGATGATAAAAAGTAAAAACAATAACTAAATGACAAATATAATTACCACACTTACAATATTGAGAACAATTCAACTTATTACATTTATAATGTTAATATTTTTAGCCTCAGAACAATTGAAGCTAATGTAATAGTAATTAGCTTACTTGCTACAACAACACCAATGTCTACAAGCTCCACAATACAAAGTATAGGTGCAACAATCAGGGTTGTTATTGGACAATGTCCAAATAAATTTAATTGGATTTTTGAACATTTGGACTATATCCAATTTGTCCAATTTATTTAAAATTTTTTTTGGACTGTTAGATATTGAACAATGTCCAAAACTTTATGAAATTAATTGGACATATGTCAAATTGCTTAATTGGACATATGTCCAATTGTCTAATAACCTTATTGGATAAATTTAATAATATTTAAAATTTTTTTGTATATATAAATATTGATTTGTGTTGTACTTATGATTAATGATTGGTGCTATAATTCAAACTGCAAGATGTAATATTGTAATAATTATTTATTACAAAAAGTAATAGTGTAATAATATTTATTAGGGCAGTGTTATTTATCACCTGATATTTTTTTATTAGAGACTTACCCCCCCAGTTTTTAATATATAAATTATCAGGTCTCATATATAAAATTCCAATTTTTTTGACCCCCTAAAAAATCACCTGATAATTGTCAGCTCCCTTACATGTAATAATATTTTAATATATAATAATTATTATTATAAGTAATATTTATTTATTTATTTTTTTAAATTCAGCAGTTATGCTAAAACTTTATTAGATCTAAATTAACAAACTACACCGTCAACTAATTTTACCAAAACAATTACTTTAGTTATCTAAGTTACAAGTTTTGACTAAACCAGTTGCATCAAATGTGTACCTATATTCGACCTACTATAGTAGAATTTTATCTCTCTATCATTTCTTCTGCTATCAAAAAAACAAATAGATCACCAAATAGCATCTACAGGCATGTCATGACTGCTAAATTTCTTTAAGACCCTCCTCTTCTTAATATCCAAGCAAGAGAATTCCATAATTCTTGCCTAAAGAACAACAAGTATAAAAAACTAAACTAAAAAAAAAAGTAAAAAAAAAGAGGGAATACTACAAAAACCTAAATATAATTTAAATACAAAAAGAAAAAATAGAACAAAAAAGATAAAAAAAAGAAAAGAGCAAAAAGAAAAAAGAAAGACATGAATGCACTATTTTCAAAAAAATGAACTTCTAATTGTTGCATCTGTGTATAGCAAAAAAAATTATTTAATACTCTATAAAATAATTCTCACCTTCATTTTACTTTGATATAGTGCAGAACACCTAAAGACGGAAGTCACGTGACTTGTCCCATTTTGGCTTAATTTTTAAAAAAATCTCAAATCATCCAAAAATCATATTTTTGCCGAACCCGAGCAGACGTTAATCACGTGACATGTCATCGATTATTCAAAATTTTCAGATTTTTTTAAAATGATCAATTTTAAAATTACACACAACATAAATTACACACTATTTATTTTAATTTATTTTATTTAATTACATACAAACATTAGTTATTTTAATAATTTATTTTATTTAATTTAAAATATTTTTTAATCATGCATCAAATTTATTTATTTAATTATGCATCAATTTATTATCACGGTCGATTTATTATTAATTACGCATCAATTTATCACGATCGATTTATTTATTTAATTGATTTTTTTTTTTAATCGCGCATTAAATTTACTTCATTTATTTAATTGCAATTAAATTTTATTTATTTATCTAATCGCCATTAAATTTTTATTTATTTATTAAACAGGGCCCATTTCTCTATTTTCTTGAATAAATGAAGCCAATTTGTTTTGAAGAACTCTTCTGTGCGATTTAAATTTTTTACATGCATATTCTGCCAATTTTCCTGTCAATCCCTCACAATACAACTCCATATATCTCCACGATTTGCGAGCAAACCTTCTAATCGTAATGATGTCTACTAAATCAAGTGCTCGTAGAACAGTTTCTTGCAAGCCAGTCCATGTGTAATCGCAGTAATCTCTTGCATATCTCTTAGCCGCCCCCCAATACATTTTGATAAAATTAAGTTCACAGTGGAACTTTGGATAAAAAATGCAGATATGGCTGGCATCTTCGATTAATTCCACAACGGTGGACTTTTGGGCAACAAAATCTGGTTAAGAGGCCATAATCTTCCTCAAGCAACAATCTGTTCTACCTGAATCATTCTTTTTTTTACATGCCAAGCAATCCAAATTTAATTCCTCTTTAAAAAGTCCTCTTTCTTCTAACACCTTTTTTATTCCTTTTGGCTTTCCTCTCAAATCGGGATCAAAGTAATCCTCTTCAAATACTATTGTTTGCTCCTTCTGTCGACCATTAGCATCAATAAAAGTTGTTGGCCACATTATACTTTGCTTTTCTCCGGGTCCTTTGTTCATTCTTTGTGCTATAAGGGCATCATTTGCAAATGCCGCGTGATTCGTACTGTTATCGAAAGCAAAGACAGCCGTTGCACCAGGGAACTTTGCTTCAAAAATTGGGATGGCCTTTTCTTTGATTTGTTTTAATAAATGTTCAATCG